GGGGCTGGTGCAAGCCAGGACCGTGGCAGAAGCACTGCGATCTGCGGGTATACATTTCGATATCGCGTACAGCAGCGACTTGCAGCGAGCTCTCAAGGTGCGAGCTCTTCCGAGGTGAGATATGCCAGGCTGAGTAAGTGGATGAGACTGCGGAAACTATCTTGTCCCATCGAGACGACATCGAGATCAGGAGGGAAGAGGCCTTGAGGGAGCGCGTACGTCTGGATCCGCTTGGAAGCTTCGAGTAGGATCTTGAAGAGCTTGCGTGGATAGTTCCTCGGACGTTTGCAGGGTCATAGAGCCGGCCACGGGGTAAGAGCGTCGATTGCGCAAGCCGAGGACGACGTCGAGAGCGCGTCGGATTTCACGGCGCGCGCGGTGGGATGGTGGAAGGGGGCGATCATGCAGCGGACGCTGGCGCTGGCCGCGCGGGAGACGCCGTACAACGTGCTGGTGGTGAGCCACGGGGGTTTCATCGGGACGCTGGTGAAGGCGTTGATTGGGAGCGGGAAGGCACGGTGCGCGCCGGGGGTCGTGATTTCGGCGTGTCTGAACACGTCGGTGTCTATTTTGGAAGTCGAAAAGGGGGGCGGTGTGACTGTGGTGCAGTATGGAGATGTTCGGCATTTGGAAGCTGGGAAGGCGGTGGAAGGGAATGTAGATGAGCACCGCTCCGAGCGGAAGAGTGGGGTGCTGTAGCAGGGCATCCAAGTACTTCTCTACAGCTATCGACCTGTGTCTGCCAACGCCCGACTCATGCCCCTCCGACGGACGAATTGGAAGTTTGGATTGCCATGCACCCGATGGTCGGTATCTCGCGGGCTCTTGGAGTGGCGTCAGGGTCCGTACTACGCATTGTTCCGGGGGGATCGTCTGGACAATTCCTGCCTTATACAGGTTCAAAGCTGTATATATGGCATGGGATCGAAAGGTGTATTGACATAAGTGCTTGGCATCCAAATTTACACGTCGTGCACTGCCTGCGTTTACATCATAAACCTTTGGTCTCACCCACTTTCCCGTTCCGACCGTATTCGCTCATTCTCCCTCTCGTCTCGCATCCATGTCAACATCTGAAAGCACACCCCTCTTACCTCACACCAACGGCACAGCGGCCGGTGGGCACTCGTTCACGCACCGAGTCAAGGCCCTTATCAAGGCGGAGGGCGAGCCGTCCTGGATTGCATCCTACAAGTTCTTCTTGTTCGGCTCGTGGCTGAACATCTTCCTCCTCTTTGTGCCGCTGTGCATCCTCGCGGGGGAGCTGCAGTGGGACGCAGCCCTGCGCTTCTCATTCAGTTTCCTTGCCATCATTCCGCTGGCTAAGGCATGTTCCAACCGTCGCTGATCGCCCGGACCAGATCGCTCACGCGCGATCGTTTTTTGATAGCTTCTGGGTGATGCGACGGAGCAGATGTCCAACAAGCTGGGCCCGACGCTCGCCGGGCTGCTCAACGCCTCCTTCGGCAATGCGGTGGAGATCATTGTGGGCATCGCCGCCTTGCTGCAGGGTGTGTGGCCACGTGCACGCATACTTTCAGGGAGCTGCGGAGACTAACTTTTTGGACGTAATTTAGGCCAACTCCGTATCGTCCAGACTTCCGTTAGTGCATATCTTTTTCACATTCGGGTCATGGCCTTACGTATGCACTGTAGCTGCTCGGCTCGATTCTCTCCAACTTGTTGTTGGTTTTGGGCTGCTCCTTCTTGGCCGGTGCGTCATCGTTCAGTTTTGTTGGCCTTCTGTGTTGAAGTTTTATGTTCATCCAGCGGGATTCAAGTTCCCTGAAAGCAACTTCCAGGTCACAGCCGCTCAAGCGTAAGTGGAAGGTTCTGTATGTCTAAGATCTGAGACTGATTCATTCCCTAGATCGAGCTCGGTACGCGATTCCATGAGCAATTAATGCATTCTGACTCTGTGCGCTAGCTCATGACGCTGGCTTGCATCAGTGATTATTCCGCGCAGCACTCTTGCCCGTTCGAAATACTGACTGAATTCGGTAGCCCTTGTGATCCCTGCTGCTTACCACAGCACGATGATAGCGTCGATCGAGGAGAAGAAAAACATGGATTCCTCCTTGCTTGGGTCAAAGCTTACGACGCCCGCTTTGGACGGCCTGCTCACCATCTCGCGCGGCACGGCGCTGCTTCTCCTGGGAGTTTACGTGGCCTATCTCGTGTTCCAGGTTTTCTAGTGTTGTTTTCCACATGATGAGCAGTTTCTGACCCGTCTCCAGCTCAAAACGCATGCTTACCTCTTTGAGGAGCCGGAATCCACCGACGATGGGCCTGCCATTGAAAGGGAGGCGGCGGAGATGAGCGTCATCGCGGCGGCTTTCGCGTGAGTTCACCTGCCCTGTTGTTATGTTTACTTTCTTTCTCAACCAAAAATCCAGTCTGCTGGCCACGACCGTCGTGACCTCTTTCTGTGCTGACTACCGTACGTTCCCCCGAGTCAATGATCAGCGAGCTCTCGCTCATTTTTTATCAAGTGGTCGGATCCATCGAGGAGACTGCCGACCGCTACTCGATCCCGAAACCGTTCATCGGCCTGATCTTGCTCCCCATCGTGGTAAGCGAACTTTCGTCGTCCCGCGTGTGTTCTTTGTGCTCAACCGCTTAGGCTAACGCTGCCGAGCACGTGACTTCCGTGTGGATGGCAATGAAAGGTCAGATGGAACTCACCATCGGAATCTGTGTCGGCAGCTCGATCGTGAGTGGTCGAATTAATCTGACGGTGGATAAGCTCTCAATTTTGAACGACAGCAAATCGCGACATTTGTCGTCCCTCTGCTTGTGATCGTCGGATGGATGTAAGCGACTCGGGCCATCTCACAAGGATGCCAGTTACTTAAGAATAATTTAGATCCGGCCACGAGCTGACGCTCTTTTTCGCCAACTTCGAGACCGTGACGTTGTTTGTCTCTGTGTTCCTGGTAAACACGCTCATCCAGTACGTCGTCACGTGTTCATGTTGAACGCGATGGTTGATTTTTCTTTAGGGACGGGAAGTCGAACTACATGGAAGGCTTGATGCTTATCACGCTCTACTGTGTCATTGCTTTGTCCTGTGCGTTTTTTTTTGCCGTTGCTGCGGGCTGTCGCGGAAACTCACCATGGTTTTTGCAGTCTGGGTCACTGAGTAGTCTCGAATGCGTGCTGAGCCCTGCCTTATCTATCTACTTAGTGCTTTTCATATAGTCACGTAGTACCGCCTTTTTGTAAATTGACCGCAAAGCTTGCATAAATTCGAGGTAGCGTAGAACCGGTGCCTTGTCAGAGGTGAGCGCCGTCGTCGATTGAGATGGTCTGGCCTGTGCGAGTTTTTTTTTTTCATGTCTCCGAGTTTCTTACTGTCGACGAGAGCTTACCTGTGACAAACCACGCTGCATCGGAGACCAGATACGAAACGAGGGCGGCGATTTCTGCTGGGGTGCCTACCCTCAGTTCCGAGCCGAGGCCGAGGTATTTTCGGGTGTCGGTGAGGTTCGCCGCTGCCTGACGACGCGCCATGAATCCGACCGCTGCGCCGCGGGGGGTCAGTGAACGGGGAGGCGTATGGCAGACAAGGCGGGCAGTCACTCATGGGGGTTTCGATCAGACCCGGCGCGTAGGCGTTGACCGTGATCTTGTGTTCGCGAAGCTCCAGTGCTGGTGGGTGTGATGGGTAACGCGTCGGTTATTTTTGCACTGTTGATCGTGGTAGGACTCAGCATGACTTACCGGACGTCTGGGTGAGCGATTTGACTGCGGCCTTGGAGACGGAGTACGCGCCCAGGCCCGCGATGCCTATCTTTGGTTGGGAAAACTCGCGTCCGACTCGAGGTCGGTGGTGCACTCACCGCGCTGGCCTGCGACGGAGGATGCGCCTGGGAGTGGGGGGATCAGAATCATCTCTCACGGACACAAGGACACCCACCGATGATGCGCCCTCCCCATCCCTGCTTGATCATCTGCTGGGCCGCGAGTTTGTAGCACAGGAGCGTCCCGCGGATGTTGACGTGCCACAGGTCTTCCCACTCCGAGACGTTTGCTGTGAGCCCATCGAAGTCGTTCAGAAGAACCGGTCAGTGCTTCTCCGGCGGTAGAGGGGCGGCGCCACCGACCTTCCGCGACGGAGCCGCCCTGCCCCGCGATCCCCGCGTTCGCCACCATCTACGGCGGGCCCCGGGGGGTCCTGGATCAGCACAGCACACTTGCAGGGGGTACCGGATGGGCACGGCGACGCACCACGTCGAGTCGGCCGTAGGTCTGGACGGTCTGGTCGATTACCTGCTGCACCTGCTCCTCGCTGGAGACATCGCACGCGAGCGCCAGCGCCTTAGACGCGCCGCCGAGCTCGTCGACGAGCTGCGTGAGCGCATCGAGCTTGGTGGGGAGGTCGACGACGACGACGGCGAGCCCGTCGGACGAGAGCTTGGAGGCGATGCCGCGGCCGATGCCTTGCGCGGCTCCAGTGACGACGGCGACTTTCGGGCTGGCGGCGGACATCGTAGACGGTTCGTTCGAGATGGTGTGGTGCAAGATGAGCGGTGGGTGGTGAGAGACGAGGTGTTGCTGTGTAGACTCATCTCCGCAAGGAGGTCGTTCGGCCGCACCCAAAAATAACTGACAGGGCAAATGAAGAAAGTTGTTAATCACGCGCGTCTCACGAGAAGTGGTCTCGTGACCGCGTGGGATCGCTTGGCACAATTTCATTCGCTCTTTCGACTGAGTTGCGATTCCGAACGTGGGTTCAGGCTATGCAAGAGAGTATCACAGCTCTGGAAGCCAAATCGGGAATCCGTCGTTAATCAATCGATGCGAATAGCCCATCCTTCCGGATAGAAAGGAGGCGAAAGCTTGAATTCGTGCACTCACAGGCGACCAGGGCGGGCCGTGGCGCGCCCCTCGCGCGGAAATGATCGCGCATCCGTTGCCTGGGCCTCAAACAAAATGAAGCACGCAATCACAGTTACGTCACCCGTGGCTGAGTGTGACGATAAGATTACCGTTTGTGACCTGCCTCCTCCTTTCGCGAGAGACGAGGACAGCGGAGAGAACTCTGAAGGCTGAAGTGACGATACGGCGGATGCTGTGTAATGCAACCATCAAAAAATGACGAGGAAAGCACGTACGTAATCCCTCCAGAGATTCTGGAGCTGTGGTGGTGACGCGTCGGCGACCGTGCACATATTATATGTCATGGATCAGCTCAGGTGGAGTCGATTTGAAGTTGTCGATATGTGCCACGTGGGAGAGGCTAGCAATGCGATAAGGCGGATGGGCACTGCGGTCTAGACAGGAGAGCTGCAGCGAGGAGCACGCAGTGGGCCTAGGGCGGCTAAGGGCGGCCACCTGAGCACGACTGCTGCTGTCGGTCGGTGCCTGAGAAGCAACGGGAAGTCTGATGGCCCGGCGTGGTCCCGGGTTGTGGATGCATCGCCCTGTTCGCCCCCCAGTAACCATGCGCTTCGCGGACGAGCTGGACGCTCCAGCATCCGCTTGTCTCCAGACAACCGGTGGAGTGCGGATGCTCGGTTTTTTTCCCTGGGAGAAAGGTATATCATGCCGGCAAATCCGATCAATGAACCTGATGGGATGGAACGAAGATCAATGACAGAAGAACTGCCACGAGCCCACAGCTGGCCAGAATTCTGGCTTGCAAAGACTGGCAAGCACTTGGAGGAGGACGCAGTCCAATATGAAATCGCCATAACTACATGCTGTGTCCTCTCCGCGCGTAACGATTTGCTTCCCAGAGATATGCATAAAATGTTTGCAGGCGGGAAGACCGAGCGAACCGACGCCCGTGGGTCTTACCTAATTGAGAATTGCGAGATTCTTGCCTCCGCCCCCCACCTCTCTGCCAAATATCCCTCCCCGCCTCTCAGGCGCTTCCAAAAAGGAGTCTTTTGCAGCTTCGCCTCGCTTGCAAGCTCCACCACGGGGATCTTTTCCAGCCGGGTTCTAACAGGACAAAGGTGCCCCAACTGGTGTCGTTTTCTTCCTTGAAATCTCACATCTGGACCCGGGTTGCAGCGATTCTACACTCATCGCCCTCCCACTCGTCCTCCACAATGCACCACCGCCCACCACCTACCGTGCGCCCCTCAAGCTCGCTCTCTTCGTACATCCCGAAGCAGAGCCGCACCCCCAGTCCCCGCATGACGCCTTTGTTGCCGTCAGCAGCGATGAACTACCCCAAAGTCGTCGTACCAGCCAACGAATCGGCATCGACGTCGCAGGAGTCCTCGCCGACCTTCTGTGGGATGCCCCTGAAGTATCTGTCGTGCGTGTGCTGCTTTTCGTCACATTTGCCCATACTAACCTTTTGCGCCAACCCTGAACCAGCCTGTTCGCCCTGGCCATCCAAAACGCCGCATTATCAATAACGATGCACTACTCCCGCGTCTCGACGCCGCCGTCGCAGTCCTACTCACCCGAAGCCGCCGTGTTCCTCAATGAACTCATCAAGGGCCTGATCTCGTTTTGCATCGGGCTGGCTGTCCTGCCCCAAGTCGCAGAACGTCCCTGGCGCCGCATGACGTTCTCCGCCGTCGTGCGCGAGCTCCCGTGGCCGTGGACTGCACCGTTTTGGCAGCTATGGGGCGAGATTCTCAGCCCTGACTCATGGAAATTGCTCATCCCCGCGGTCCTCTACGTCGCGCAAAACCTGCTCCAATTCGTCGCTATCAGTAACCTCCCCGTTGCGACGTTCCAAGTTACGTACCAGATGAAGATTCTCACGACTGCGGCGTTCTCCGTCGCGCTGCTCCGGCGCACGCTGAGCCCGACGAAGTGGCTCTCGCTGTTTTTCCTCGCTTTCGGTGTTGGAATCGTGCAGATCCAGACTGCGACGTCCGGCCATGTCACTCCGAAAAACGGGCCCGTCGGGAGCGCCCACGATTCGGCGCCGTTGCACATCCATATCATGAGTCCGCTGAAGGGCTTCGCTGCCGTCACGGTCGCATGTGTGACGTCGGGGTTGGCCGGGGTGTACTTCGAGATGGTGCTGAAGAACTCGCGGTCGACCTTGTGGGTGCGGAACGTGCAGTTGTCACTGGCGTCGCTTCCGTTCGCGTTCTTCATGCTCCTGTACAAGACGCCCTGGAGCTTCGGATTCATGCACGGGGCGTTCCGGAACTTCGGGGGCTGGGCCTGGGCGACGGTCTCGGTGCAGGTCGCGGGCGGGCTGGTCACTGCGGTGGTGATCAAGTACTCGGACAACATCATGAAGGGATTCGCGACGTCGCTGTCGATCGTGTTCTCCTTCCTCGCGTCGGTCGTGCTGTTCGACTTCAGAATCACGCCCTCGTTCGTTATCGGCGCGTCGACGGTGCTGTGTGCGACGTGGATGTACAACCAGCCGCCAGGCAAAGAGCCGCTGGCCATCGTCACGTTGACGGGCGGCAGCATTTCCGATGTCACGACCAAGATCTCGGGCAAGTCGACGCCCTTCCCGGGCACCCCGATCGACGACCGGGACCCTATCATCGGGCAGTTCCCGTCTGAGAAGAAGAAACTATTCGGGCGGGCCAGCATGTCCGATCTACTGGGCCGCAGCAGCACGACCGACCTGCGGAACTCGTTGACTGTCAACAACGGGAGCCTAAATCCTTCGCCGTGGGGATCGATGGAGGATATCCATCGGTACCGCAGCTCGCCGTACGGGTCGCCGTACCCGTCGCGGTCGGTGTCGCCTGTGCCGCCGCCGCCAAGGAGGACGGAGGGCAGCCCGCGGGTGTCGCTGACGGTCTCTGAAGACGGAGAGGGCAACGAAAGCAGCGCCAGCAGCAGTGCATGATGGCATTGGCGTTTGTTGTTGCTGTGTCTTTACGGGCGTTCCCTGAACTTTTTTCCTTTCCATCTTCGTGTTTATTCTTCATTTCATCCAGACAGACAGACAGACAAACATACCCATGCATAGACCGCTTGACGATGACACTTTAACTTATCACGATATTGCCACGACCCCCGACTACCGTCCACCTCCCGGCCCCCCTCCCGGCCCCCGCCTCCTCCGTTCTTGCGCGCACGCTACTGCTGCTGCTTGCTCACTTACACGACTTACTACCATCATCTTAGATTACTACACACCACGATTTTTTGGGTTGGTTCGCAGTTCAGATACGTAGCCCCCCCTGCCCCAGTGTAATTTACGTTTGGATGAGAGAATTGAGGGATTTTTGGTTTGTGGGTTTTCTGGATATCTGTTGCGACTGCAGTGGCGGGCTGGAGTCCCCTCGAGGGGTAATATGTTTTCCTCGCGTCTGGCGACAGGTTTGAAACGCTCAAGATTGAATCCGCTGGTTCTCAAGAGCGTAGCATCGGCTGTGTAACTCAAAGAACGACCTGCGGCACTCCAGAAAGATCAACCGCGAGCAGATCGCACACGAGTCATCCGTCGCGCACAAGCCAACGAAGTGCGCTGCCGCTGGTGCCCGTCACGGTGGCCGCAGCCATGGGGGTCAGTGTCCATATGAACATGGACGACCGCGGTGGTGCGTGGATCCCAGATGCGCACAATTATCGGAATCAGCGGAAGTGCCGAGGAGATGATCTGAGTGCGCCGATGAGCGAGGTGTGCTCTGTCAATGCATGCATGCATATATCGGCCCGTTTTCATATCCCGGACACGGACGGTGTGACCGAGGGTGCCGGGATGGGCTTTTGTCGAGGTGCGTCCCAGTGCGCCAGAGACGCAGGCGCGCTCATTACCGCAGCACACAGCACATTTCATGGGCCCATGTTCTATCAGGCCAGATGCTTTGAAGCGCTCAAGGCACGATATCCGGGACCTGCGAGGTGCCATCGTAAGATCCTGTGGCTGTAAGCTTTTCATGTACAGCGAAAGCGTTCATGTCCGTGCAGGAGATGGGCGGTAATGGCTCTTGCTCACGTCCTCGGGTAGATGATCCAGACCGAGAGGGCTGTTGACGAGCCATTCAATGACGGGTCAGCGCACCTCAAGGCCGTCCGTATCAACAGAAAGATCAGCCATACGCACCCCCAACCTATAGGTCCCGTTAAAGATAAGTCGTGCAGCAGCATCCGCGGTGGACGGACACCCCATCCGTATCGTGCGATCGGCAAAGTCCAAGACTGTCCTTCCACCTGTCATATGCATCACACGAGACGCACCGTCGTGCGCGGGGTACGTCTGGCACAGGCCGCTCGTGTACGTGCAAGTCTACTGTCCGTGAAGTCGGCGGTAGAGAGGCCTTGCTGAAGGAGAAGATGAGCTGGAGGACGGCGACGTTCGTTTTAGTGAAGCGGTGTAGTAGAGTTTACAGTGGACGCTGGAAAGTCGGGAGCCGACATTACTACTCACGGGTTCAAAAAGTAATGGTCACTCCGTGATTTCTCTACATATTTGGGCCAAGAAAAGTACATTATTACAACTTAGAAACGTGTATGACCTCCTTCCGCATCTAATACAGCCTGTACGCGGTCAATCATCCGTCCGGTATGTTTGTTGATGTCATCAATTGGCATTGCATCCCACTCCTCCATGATGGCGGCTTTCAGCGTCTCGAAAGATGTAGGACGCGGTTGGCGACATCTGACACGCTTCTTGAGCTCATGCCAGACTGGTTCGATGGGTGAAACGTCGGGCGAACAGGCAGGGTGTGGGAAAAGATGGACTTTGTGACGTTTCAGCCAGTCACAAGTTGACTTGGCAGTGTGACAGGACGCGCCGTCCTGCTGGAAGTAGATGCGGATGCGTCGGCCGCGTTCTTCGCGAAGCGTCTTCATGGTGTTGAGAAGATACTTGTCGAGGACCTGTTGTTGGTACCGCTTCGCCGTCATGCCACCGCCAGGGCCTCCTGGGTACTTCAAAACCACAAGCGGCCCTTTCCATCCATGAGCAATACATCCCCACACCATAACGCGCACCGATGAGTCCTTCAGCTCTGGGACAAGACAGTCCTGATCATAAACCTCCTCCACTGTGCGCGTCACCCAGATCCGGCCTGAGCTCTCTGTCAAATGGATGTAACATTCGTCCGACCACAGAATCCGCTCCCACCCTCGCATCCGCATCCCCTTGTTTCGACGTGCCCAAGCCATCCAATCCTCCTTGTGCTTCTCCGTAAGGTATGGGACATGCCGCGCAACCCGTCGGTGCATCCCCACACCATCCAAGACATTGGCAACTGTCGTCGCGCCCACAGGCGGATCTGTCATGTTGCCGATGTCACAAAATGGTAGCCGCCGGTTCTCTCGCGCTGTTTCCACCATCTCGGACTCCATCTCTGGTGTAACCTTTTTCGGACGACCACTCTTGGGTCTGTCGGACACGGATCCGGTCTCGCGATACTTCTTCCAGATCTTTCGCGCAGTGTGGAAGGGAATGTTGAAGGTCCTTGAGTGCTTTGCGAGTTGTGAATCTGCTATCATGGCACCAACAAACTGGTTTCGCTTCTCGTCAGAGTGGTAGGGATGAGATTTAGATTTTGGCATGGTAGTTAGGTAGAAGACAGTGTGTAGTCTACATGACATCAATCTCAGGCCACATGACGGCGTTGGTGGAGCGCACAGCTCCAAATGATGCAGTGACCATTATATTCTGATCGCGCGAGTATGGGCTGTCCGCGCTGAGGCTCATTGGTCGAAAAACCCCTCGCACACAACTGCTAGTGGTTAGGTGCAGTTGCTGCAAGGCGATCCAATTGACCAGCGAGAATGGATTTCCAGCAGAGACCCTCAAGGGCCGGAATACTCGGCGGCATAGAAGTAGAACAGCGTTTCGAGATGGCGGATACGTTCGGCCATCACCGGTGGTGACTGCCTTTTCCAAGCAAGGAGCACGGTGCGTCACAGTCAGCTGATGTGACATATTTTGTAACGCTGACCCAGCGCCGACCAGATCAAAGCAGAGATAGTACTATAGGTACTTATCGGACCTAGCTCACTACCGGAGAGTCGTCGGCTATTGAGTAGAAACCCGAAATGGGTTCACGAAACTCAAACACGCCTAATAAAGTTTGAAAGGGCCTGGAGCTAGTCAAGCCTGCCTCGTCTTATTAGATCGCAGCCTTTCACCATTGCAAGCCTGACAGTGGCGAGGCTAGATCTTCCTCGGTGTTCCAAAAAGCCCGTGATTCGCCAAACGCGATGTGTATAACTTCTCACACCTTGTTGCTTCATGAATTGCGCCCAACCGCTCTTCTCACTGCCATCGGCCCAGACCGTCTTTGGCGGTAATCCTTCCTGACACACAATCTGAGAGAAAGAGGGGTAAATCTGTGCCGCCCAGGCTGTTAGATTCTTACGTGTTTTTCTGTATCGAATGGACTTGAAGCGCGCCGGATTCAGCATAACAATCGTCGTGTGCATCTTATTCTGATCTAAGTATCGATTCAAGTTGTCGATAATCAACTTGTTGGAATCCTTCTTTTTAACAGGTCGCATTTCCCTAGACCATCAAGTACGACTAAGTGAGAAATGAAGCCCACAGGGTTGATGGGACAGCAATCAGGCCTTCTGCATCTCAATCTAGCTCGTGCACGTAGCAAATCGAGAATACTTACCTGCAAGTAGAAGATCTAGGATCAGAATATTCGGCGAGGCTTGCAGCTGTGGTGACTCTCACAAGATCATTATGAATGAATGACAGATCGGTGAGCACTGCCTTGATATTAAATTGTCATCATACGTAAGGTATGCCGCATTAGAAACCAGCACCCATGACTAAGCGTCACACCGTGACAAACAGCGACGGAAAATGACGGCGCCCACAGAGGGAATATAGCCAAAGCACTCACATGAGGTGTTTCTAGAGGCCTTTAGAGCACCTGCTATCTGAACCGAATCTTTTATTATGCCTCCTGGAGAGCATGATATGAGGCTCAAGCATTTTGCATCAAAAGTTTCCTTTTATTGTAGAAAGTGATTTCCCACTGAACTGAGCATTTTTTAATTTTGGGTCGGAAGATTTGACCATTCACGTGACTTCCTAATTGGGAAGTGGCAGTGCTACTAGCGTCGAGAACCCCTTCTATAGTCATAGTAGCCATACAAAAGCTCAATTATCCTTGGGACACCCATTTTGGATCACTTTTGGTGCATACATGTCCATCGTTATACCAAAAAAGAAGGGCTGCATTTTTCGGACCGTGGATTTGACCGTCACGTGACCGTCACGCGCTGCTTACTAAGGGGTGCTGGTTCTTAATGCGGCATACCTTATCTGAAACAAGCAAAGTAGACGCGATTCTACGGATTCCCACAAAAATGGGAATAGAAAAATGAAGGTTCCGACGGAGAGTACAACAAAGTGAGTCGGAGCATCGACTCGGAGTTGAGAAAAGGGACGCCTCGCGCGCCGGGCCTGGCGGTCCGGTCGAGGCTGCAAGCTGCCAAGAGCACGTGTCGACCTGTCAATTTCAATTTGGACTCAATTTGGCCCTTCTTCCAACGCCGCTTTCCGCCTTCTCTTTGCCTGCGGGCTCTTGGAGCCATCGACCCTCCTTTTCATCACCTATCGCTTCCTCTTCTTTTCTGCCTGTGGCTGGGGCTTCGGGAGACCGTGATGTCTTCGTGCGCGAGCTCTGCAACGGCGACTTTGACGGTACTCAGTTTTGTTTTCCTGGCATCTATCGTACTGAGCTCGAGATCCAGAGCGTGTTGACCCTCGAGCTGCTAACGACCACATTCACATCTTCTGTAACTACGCTACCGCCCACATTCACCACAATAACGTCGCAGGGTTGTGCATTGGGAAATCTGAGTGATGTTGCCTGTCTGTCTACGGCTACGACGATCACATCGACTATCCCGGGTATGTTTTCTCATTTACCGACCCGTGGAACGCTCTTGTTGTAAAAACCGAGCTTGACTGGCACCCTCGGCTCGATATCAGCTTACCGAGATGAGTTACTTCCAGGTATCACGTCGACGGTGGACGTCCCGGTGATCACGACTGTGCCCAGTCTGAGCACGCATATTACGACACTCTTCGGCACATCATGTTCTGCGTCTGCCTCTGTGTCTCTACCCGTATCGTCAAGCCGAAGTGTCATATCGACGCCACCGCCCCCGCCGTCTCCTAGTGTCACACCGTCGAGCTCAATGTCCGCCGTCGTTGTTACTAGCCAGCAATCGAGTACTCTGGCAAATGGACAAGTCACGGTGGTCCCGCTCACCGTTGTATCCGTCGTATCCGGGTCGATCACATACGTTACCGCCGCTGCCTCTGCCGACCCCCACACGCAAACGAATACAGATGGTGGCAGTCCACCCACGATTGGACCTATCATCGGTGGCGTCCTAGGGGGTTTCTTTGGGCTATTTGCCATCGTGTCGATAATCTGGTTTGTGCTGTACGTATTCACTTTTATCCGCCGGATCCGCCTCCTAAACTCGCAATGCAGACGACGAAGACAGCGATGGGACGACATCTTCAATGAAGAAAGGCCACCTGCGCCCGCTAAGCGCTTCTCCTTGGATCCCGAAGTGGAGCCCAAACCTTACCAATATGGACTGGTTGGCCAGGCGAGGACGCCTCCGTCCGCATCTGGCTTTTCACCTCCGAATTCTCCGCCAGCGTCCTCGGCAAATCGCCACCCTACGCCTGGTCTCATGCCACTCAATCTCCCACGTACTGTCTCTAGCCCCGGATTCAGTGCCACTACGGCTTCGTCTCGACCTTCCTCCGCTGGTTCGATGCGACCACTCGATCCAGGGGCGCATCTCTCCGGCCACGGACACAACACGAGCAAGGGAAGCATCGGAGATGGCGCGGTACCGGCCATCCCCTATAACTGGGGACACCACAGTCCCAGCCCTAGTGCCGATCAAGCGTACTTCGATCGCGCTGGGTCGCCCACAAGTGTGCGAGAGTACGATCCCCCGAGGAGGCTGATGCTCGCAAACGGGAGCACGCACGACCCGCCGTCGCCGTCGTCGTCGCCACCCCGCACGCGCTCCGCGCTCAATACCTCGGACTCTGAAGCTGCGGTGCACCCAGGTGCTGGCCGTGCATCCACCTCATAGCATTACTCTCCGTTTCGTTCGTTTATTTTCCAGGCTGGCTTCGCCTCGTGTCACTTTACTTTACTGGGATGCGACTCGCCCCGTGTGCACTGCGCGCATTGGGCTGATGATTACGCTCCCGTCGTCGTATATATATATTTACGGTTCCCGTCATCCACCCATTTTCGCGCTGTAGAAATAGAGTTCACGTCGGCATACAACAACAACCGCGGGCAGACGGTGGCCGCAGCTGCCATGGCGACGCCCTGCACACAATAAGTTACGTAAGCGGGGATTGCTGTACAAAGATGCGCAAACAAACTTTTATGTCCTGCGCGAGCCACATCGCGCTCGTAACTCATGCATTCTCGAGTTGTGAAACGCGTCTCCAAGACGGGTATTGATCCACGAAGCAGCGTAGCGACCGACGAAAGTCCTTTGTGCCTAAACAGGAAGGGCGGGACTTCCGAACACGTGCTCTATTGTTCTTTGTACACCTTGTTCTCCAGGTTCATTGTTCTCTAGCCGGGGATACGTGAGTCAAAGAATGGACGTCCTTGAGTGTTTGGTCTTGTTCGGCATAATGGGCAAGCTAGCCGCCGAACGATAAAAAGGAACGCTGCCGGGCTGACTTCTTCAGTGGTCTTCCACATAAACAAGCTACCCAGCCAACTCTCTACTTCCACCCTTGTCTCCTTCTTGGTGTCGGGACACCCTTGTTTTCTTTCTTTCATTACTTGACGTTACCGCACCGACTTTTCACGCCCCCGCCCACGCACGACCACGTCTAGAGCTTGACTCTTTCTTTCACTTTTGACAAACCACTTTCACTTGCTGCCTCTCTAAAACCTTTTCAACGAACTTCCCATCGCCATCTTTTTGCACCCTCACATCATGCCCATGAACTTCTCTCGCAGTGCGTACCGTGCTTCCTGTTGCGTTTGCCATGCTGACTCATAGCGCGATCAGTCATCTTCGTCGGGCTCAACGCCGTCCGTCTCCTCAGCATCGTTGGACTGCTTCTCGTTTTCGCGTCCTCCATCGAGGTCATGGTCACGAACATCAAGGCTGTGAACGCGTTCCAGGCGGACCGGATCGCCAATGGCACGAGCCCCATGCTGGATTGTGATTACATCGAGTGCGTTCATCTCTGCGACGGCGTGCGAGCTCGAGGCTGACCTGCTCAAAGAGGAAGCACTGTTCCCAACCAGGCCGCCGGCGTCTTCTGGTCTGTCGTTGCCAGCCTGCTCATCATCTTCCAAGTTGTCATTTTGCTCCGTGCGTTCCCTCCGCCCTGATTTAAAACAATCGCTCACCTTTCTTCGTTTGTCTAGTCTCCGAGTTACGCTGGCCTTCGTCATTTTTTGATCGGTTCTTCCCGGTGCTAGGAAACGACTTCGGCCTCGGCGCCTTAGGGATCTTCCAGTGCCTCATCGGCGCCCAGATTCTTTCTCACCATGTCGACGACTTTACGCTAGTCTCCGCGTTCTTCCTGTTCTCCATCGGGTGCCTGAACATTTTCCTTGGCTTGATCTTCCGCGAGAGCGCCAAGTCCCGTCGTTCACTGCGCGCCAAACGTCAGCAGGACAGGGGCATTATCACGGGAGATATGGGGTCGTTCGCGCCGCAATTCGTGCCTGTCTACCCGACTACGATGATGGAGAAACCTGTGCAGGAGACGGCGTCTCTTGGCTCATTCAAGAGCACCGCCAAGTCCAACATGGGCTTCGGGCGCCAGGGCGAGAAGGCCGCGGCCATCCGCGGATTCATGCTCCAGCGCCCTGAGGAATCGCTGCCGCGATATGCCTCGCCTTCTCCGAGCTTCAACAACAACGCCCACGAGGAGAAGGCCAGCCCTCGCCCGTCGCGCGTCCCGTCGCAGCAGAGCCGCTCGGCCCGCAGCGCCGGCTCGTCGCGCAGCTCGTCGCACTCGTCCCGCTCGTCCCGCTCGTCGTACGCCAGCGAGGTCGAGACGTCATCGAGCTTCGCGTCGCCGATGTCCTACCGGGACACGATCCAGATCCCCGACTCGCCCCGCCCCGGTGAGGAAGACGCACACACCATGCCTGTGCCGTTCCACGCGCAGGCGCCCCTCCCGAAGTACGGCCGCGTGCACGGCAAATTCTGAGGGTCCCTTGACGGCTCACTCACTCACTCGCTCACTCAAAAGACCAGCTGGAGGATCGCATGTCGATTCACGGACTGATAATGCCATTTAGACTGCTACTGGCTCACACACACATCTACCACGCCCCCTTGCACGTACCCTCCGGACTTTTTGACGCCCACGTGACGCGCTCTCTGCATACTGTATATACATGCATCTTAATCGAGAGCTTGACTGCTCTGTGTACCTACCTGCTTACCTGTATCTTCCTTCCCTGTATTACAAGCAAAGATCTAATCGATTGTTGTGTTGCTGCAAAACATTGACAAGATTAGATGCGCATGCTTTACTGGACAGGATGGTCCGTGACAGGAGTGCTACAAGTTCTCCGTGCTCGGCTACCGCCGCCGAGAAGTCGCGGAGGATTGGAGTCATTTTTCCTGTGATGTTGCGCGATCAGTGGTCAGCGACCTGCCAAGCTCATCGTAAGCAGACGCTTCCTCTCAGGCTGTTTGCGAGTGAGAAAACGCCGGGGGAACAGGAGACACACGGAGGGTGAAGCCCGCCGGCTCTTCGTTCAACCGCAGCAGGGGAGAGCAATCTATCAAGCTTCAGACCGCTCGGAAGTCGAATCCTGATCCCGATGGGTGCGCGGCCTGCAGAAGCGGAATGCATTCATTCAGTTACGATCTACCGTGGGGAGCGGGCCCGAAGCATCCCAACCCATCCCACTCCATCCAATCGCAAGCGCCGCTCGACTTGCCGGACAGGACTCGAAGGAAGACGCGGATCTCAAGTGGCCGCTGCAGACACATTGGCACGGATGCTTTTCTCTGACGGTCCCTCTGCGGTGCCGAGTCGATTCTGGCCGCCGCCGTCCTGCACGTACTCAAACTTCCGCGAATCTAGCGTGAATGTCACCGGACCCTAAGATGCAGAAGCATGAGCGACGGGATCATCTTTGATACAGCTCAGTGCCTAGACACACACCTCGTTCGTGAGCGCCACATCCATCATCGCCCCGAACCTGCCGTCTGGCGTCGTAGTGTCAGCGACCGCAGCGCGCTCGAATGCTCGCACCCGCCGAACCTTGTATCTTCTCGGCTTTGTATAATTTCCGGAGAGCGTCTAAAAATGTCTGATACAGCGCACGTGACTGATCACTTGACTGATCTGCAGGTCAAGCTGCTGGTGGGAGAGAGAGCGAAGCCATCATCATGACGAACCATGGCGTTGTGAAAATCAGGTTTGTTGCCCTTCTTGGTATCTGCGATCAGAGTAAACTGGGAAACACAGAGAACCTCTCCGTCGATGTCTTTAACGTTTGCTTTCCAGGCTTTGGAAGGATCTTGCGAGTCGGGGAACACACGTAGAGAAAGTCTAGATGGATGCCATATATTAGGGCATTGCGTTGGAGTCTGCATCCGACTGCGAGACACCGTTTACCGTCGGCAGCCGACGAGTGACCACTCACATCTTGTTTGTCAGTGTCGCGACATCGGTAGCAGTGTCATCTGCTCCTGGGATGTGAGAAGGATGGAGAGGCGCGCAAATTTGGCAGTTGAATGCACCTCGCGATATTCCGACGAGAACCATGAGGCCCTTGGATATGTGAGAAATCACCTGCCCGTCCACTGAGGAGCAGTTGAGCGACGGAGAGAGCGGAGACATTGTGTACCTGCTACGGAGGCAGATGCCACACGTTGGATTACTGCTCGCATGCTCGCTTTCCGGCGATGTCACGGTTGGGGAAAACAAGCTCGACCCTCTGCGCCAGGAAGACGGCGAGTCACGTCTCACGGTCACGTCTCGTGACATCTCGTGACGCACGCGTCTGACCTCTTTCAACACGACCATCATGACCGATTCAGTCATTCTGGAGACAAGTCTAGGCGATGTCCACTTTGAACTATACTGGGACCATGCTCCCAAGGTACATATTTCATCGTGGACAATAACCTTGATGCTCATGCAGCTTCAGACGTGTAAAAACTTTCTCGAACTCGCAAAACGCGGGTACTACAATGGTGTAGTATTCCATCGAGTGATCGCGGTATATTTTACTTTTTTGCATTTTAATTCTCAAATGGATCTTCACGATCTATAGGATTTTATGATTCAGGGAGGGGATCCCACCGGGACTGGACGCGGCGGTACCAGCATTTATGGCCAGAAATTGTACCCATCCGCAGTTGCTTTGACCGTTCGATCACTGACCGACGCGCGTGGAAATTTACAGCGAGGACGAAATCAGCTCCGAACTGCGTTTCACAGGCGCGGGCATTCTGGCGATGGCGAATTCTGGCGCGAACACGAACGGTCGGTAACTCAACATCTCGTTTTGACTGATGACGATGGGTCGTTCGCAGGTTCTCAGTTCTTCATCACTCTATCGCCGACTCCATATCTCGATAACAAACATACTATCTTTGGTCGCGTGAGCTCAGGGATGCGCGTTGTGCAGCGATTGGGAGCCGTCGCCACGAATGAACAGGACAGGTGCGCTCTGCCGGTTATCTCCATCCCGCTACGACCCACTCTCACCGCTCAGGCCGATTGAGGACGTAAAAATACATAAGGCTCGTGTATCGTAGAATACCGGACTGGACGCGCAGCCGACACACTCTTTTGTCTGCGCTTATTCTGGGATGATGAGCATAGGCTCCTGAAGAAGCTGCCCCATCGAGTGTCCTCGCCCTACTTTCGTCTCCCCAGCCATTGGCTCTTCCGGGTATCGCGTGAAGAAGAACGAACCTCTATGATTGGAAGCAGGAAAATATCATCTTGGAACCCAGCCTTCTGGATGTGTTGAGACTATTGTAACGGGCTACTATTTTCCACATTGTGGGGCATGATATGTACATTGTCGAACAGCAGGGCAGGAGGAGACAACTGGCCAATCATGATCCTTCGTGAGCTCTGTGTTTTACTGCACCCGGAGAGTTCTGATGCTGCGGTTGAGCAGACTCGCTCGCGTCTGCACTCGATCGACCAGAACGAACTTGGCGCTGTCAGAATCCATGTGTCTGATTACCAAAAGAAGGCAAAGCCCTCTTTCGTGGATTGATGGGCTTCCCTCCCCCTCGTTCTCTCCTTCCTCGATAACAGCTGATGGCGCCATCCGAGGTGCCGTTGACTTGTCACCCATCTACCGTGTGAACCCGGTCGATATCTAACTCGCTATCAATGAACGAACGTTCGGGTCCTTCGCCCCGACGCGCTTCGGAAACTGATACAGCTTGGATTTCCCCGATTCGGACTCGCGATACTGCCTCGCTCTAAGGCCCGGTCAATGATGGGCACGGCTCTCGTCCCACTGCACCGACGAATTCCGACGATCTGCTGGGCCCCTGCTTCTCCGATATCTACGCACAGTCTGATTGCGATTCGTCAGGGCTTCCCGGAGCTTGAGGCCGCAGCGAGGACTGGTCAGAGTTCTGGCTTGGCTTTCGGCACAGATTGGCCGTGGATGCTGTAATGCGCGTGGTTTGCTACCGTCCACTTCACATATATAACAATCGGGTGGGTAGCCGTTAGAAGTTGTGCGACCGTTCGGGGCCGGGCAGACTTCTTTGGCTCGATATCACGGGCTGGTGCTTCCGCCGAGTCGGGGAGGGGCTTTCGTTGGCGTTCTGCGCGCCAAAACTTGACTTCAGGTCCAATGAGCTCGATCTTTGGCCGAGGATGTCGGGATCTTCCAACGTTTGGTGATGATTATTCTCAAGTCTGTACATCGCGATACGTGAAACGACGAAGGACGGGCCGCTCACATTGTGATCTTCCGTAATAATGTTGACGTTGCTTCGTATCCGAGACATTTACTGGTAGTGGAGTACCTGTCGGTTTGTCGACTAGTCAAAGCTTCAACTTGTAGCGACAGCCCTCAATCAGGCACGCTGGTTGCCGTTTCGCAGCAGCCTCACACAATTGGCAGTCGGTGACTCCCGAAATGCCCGCCGAGACGCTCGTCAGCAAGAGGGAGTACCAATCGGGGCTGACGCTGGAGGTTTCAACTCTACACTGATGTGTTAGTTGCCATTCGACCACTCAACATATGTGTAACACTGAATGCACTGCATTGGCTGTCCCAGACAGACAGGCGGGTGGTCATCATTCAGCGGTCAAAGTCCGCAGCGCCATGGGAAATCTTGGATCGGACGCCGCTTGGAATTATTATTGCGCGCATCGCATCGTTGTGTGAGACGGGGCCAAAGAGGGCGCGGGAGCCAAGGGAAAATCAGTCAGTTTTCAGACCCAAAGAGTTTTAAATAAGCACCCACTCGAAATATATAGGACCAGATCCTAGGAATAGGCCGCGAACAGTCGCAGATAATTTGAGTTGGTGAACACGATAAGTAACTTGAATGGGGGTGGTTGATGCGAAGCAGGTCAAGCCTGAGAAGCGTACAACGTGACGGCAGCAATCGAAATCTATAATTGCATCGACGATTTCCTGGGCGTGAAGTTGAAAGCTACCGTTTAGGAATTGGGAGCATTGTGGCCCCCGCGGCCGCGGCTACACAGAAATCAGGTGGACGTCGGCCTATGCCGCATGCGTCCGTTTGGTATGTGGAGCTGTGCACTGTCAAAGCCGGGACGGAAACTACTTCGAGTTGCGGAGACTGTCCACGCTCGCTGTCGAGGCCTGAGAGAAACATGGCTTATCGCCACAAGGTGGGCAGTCCCATGGCAGGCAAAGCAGGCAATAGCCTTACAGGTGGGAGAGGAGCCTGACCTTGTAAAAGCACCGACCTGAGTCAGCGCAGGCGCGTCGACGCTGGGGTGGGGGTCGCAGTGGTTGTGGTCGTGCAGTCCCATTTCTGTCATCAGCGGTGTGTGTGCTCAAACGACCATGGGGTCCCTACATTCCACTCACTCTTCGCAAAGACGGTCTGCATCAATGGCTCAATCGAACCTGCAATGTCGCCAGCGACCAGGTCTGGCGAGCGAAGCATTTGATACAGCATTTGTCACTTCGTGGGGATCCGACGTACCTGCCCCGAGTCACACGTGGATAAGGCTTCTTCTGGTATCCTGTGCTTAAAACCGTTTAGGGTGACATCTTCCCTCGTTGCGAAATCGCGAGATTGATCGCAGCTGTGTGGGAAGTGAACGGCTAGACTGGAAGCACTAGCCGTGGTCGTGAGATTTTAAGCACAGTAATTGGGATTGGGGGATGTATGATTAAGCGACTCTCATCTTCCTGTGACTGGACACTCGAGGCAGCGAGCCAATAGCACGATAGTAATTGAAGCGAGAAACTGTCAGACCCAATGAGCGCCTGAGAACGGGGAAGAACGAGACGTCTCGGAGATCAGCGACGAGCTTTGAAGTGCACATGGCTTGGATGTTATCGGCATTCAAGTCTTCAAGGAATCGTCGCGACTCGACGAATGACGGAGAGGAACGAGTTTGATTGCCTTTCTAGCTAGTACTTATCCGAGATAAGCCTCGGTCGGGCTATCATTGATTCGACGCGTGAGCTTCTCTCACTGGAGCACAAGACCGAGTCTCGCAGATCGCTTCGTCAGCGACCACCGCAAACAACTTTGAACGCTAGCGATTGGAGCAATGGTGACATCTAGCGATGACGGACATCATGATTCGAGTACGATGTTTTAGCTCGAGTTATTCAGCTCTCGGACCAGTCACCGGAATCTATACCCAGTCGATTATGATCCGTATCTCGAAAATGTAGGCTGACAAGGATGGATGGATTCGACGACGCACCCGCCAGCCACGAGAGGGCTTCCGGCGATCTCTCCAATCTCGTCCGCCTGGTCGGCGGATCCAAACGATTTTCGGCCGAAAGCAGACGATGTCGCGTGGCCGAGAGAAAGTCACTTTCGTGAATGCAGAGGACGTCGTATGGCCGAGAGCAGAAACTGCCAAACCAGAGTATATGCACCTGTTCCGAATTTCTTACTTGTGCGTATCCGCATGGGGACAGATTTATTGACAGCTCCTGGTTTTTTCCTCAGGATCTATACAAAATACACTCACTCGTCCGTGTGACATCCAGTATGTCACACTGAGCCCAAGGATTAATGAAATTCATTCGAGACGCATGAGGATCCGAACGCTCATATCTATTCCATTTCTGTGCTCATCTGTCCCCACAAATTCTCTCTGGGTTACCGACCGTGGCAGGCAAATTTGAGCCGAAAGTGAGGGGCATCGGCTGACATAATGTCGTTTCCATCACACATCAAATGCGGGGTCGTCCGGTTTCTCTTCCTCCACATCCTGGCCCATTCCAAAACTGCCGGGCATTTCGTCTACAGCACGAAAAGTTCGGCCCCACTTTTTCCACTGACGAGGATCAGATTTCTACGTCTTACGTCAATTCCGTGGCGTATTTTCCCTCGATCCGGCGCCCTTCTTTCTCCCAGGCCGTACAACTTGTTCCCGCAGATTGAGGACAGCCCACGCGCGTCTATCTCTGAACCAAGACTTGGTTACTAGCACACGTGAGTTTACGCTATTCTCACTCAATCTCTCTTTTTCGGAATGCAATCTTCGATCTCCGCACCAGTCAGTCTGTGTACATTATAAGTGCTCGACATGTCATTCGCGCTCCGACCCAGTTGATCCTCCGCGATGCCTCGCTCCCCGTATCCTTATTCCTACTATTCTCCTCCTCCTCACTACTCTCCTCCTACTCCAGTGTCCCCTCCTCGTGCCTTCGCTCAACCCTACCCCGAGCTGACACCTTACATGCACCAGGAGATATCACTGTCCCCCGAAGACCAGTTGGTTAGCCATTACATGCCTCAAGCACCCTCCCCGCCCATCCCCATTGACCCTACTCTGTCGCTCTACCCTTCATACTACCTACCCCCGTACGGATCCCAGCCACCCCCGCAGCCCCCGCACCATCCGCATATTCCGCCCCATCACTTGTCGCTGCCGCAGAACTACTCGTCTCCATCGTCTCAGGGTTCGGACACCATCGGCACACCTCCGATGTACTCCTCGTCAGCGAATGGGAATGGGAAACGCCCGGCGTCTTCCATGTCGCAATCCAACATTAAGAAGGCGAGGAATTATGATGACGACGATGAACCTTTGAGTCCCTCGGCGGAGAAGGACGAGGGGAAACCCAAACCCACACGAGGGTCCAGGTAATGTGTGGGGCGTCTGTGATGTATGGCGGCACTGACCGCGTTCGCAGGGCATGCACTGTCTGCCGGCGTCTCAAAATGAAGTGTGTGGGAGCTGAGAAGGGCCCGCCCTGTCAGCGCTGTGCGGCTGGAAACCACGAATGCGTCTTTGAAGAGTCAAATCGAGGCAAACGGTCATCCAAGTACGCGTCTCGCTCCCACATCTGTCTCATCACTCGCTCACGAATCCCCCCTTCCAGAAAACACGAGCATCTGACGAAGTCTATACGTAAGCTGGAGCGCACACTGGATACCGTTCTGCGCTCGATCGGCAACCCAAGTCTCGCGTCCGGAATGATCTCTCGCTCGCCCTCGCCTTCTGCCGAGATCGTCGCAGAGCTGATGGAGAAGATGCCTCCGCCTCCTGCTCCTCCCGCTGTGCGGACCTCCTCCAACCGGCCCAGTTCACCCAAATTGCACTCCTTGCCCGATAACTCGCTTAATCCGCTCGGACTGCTAGCCGAAGCCAGTCTGGCTAACCGACGGACGCATTCAACGAACCCAAGCGGTCTCGTGGCCCGGCCGACGCTCGTGAGCGAGCAGAAAGTGGGCGTCGCCAGCGACAACTATTTCAAGCCTGGTGCGTTTCCTTGTGCTCGACGGTGACGAGACTTATTCTTTGACCAGGACCGATGAACATCTTGCCGCTCCGACGGCTCATCATTGAGCGCCAGGTGCAGCCTGAAATGCTGACATTTGTGACAACGGACGAGGTCGTTGCTTTGTTCAAAATGTGGGTGTCTCTGCGACAGATCGCAAGTCGTGTGCTCATGTCCATGCAGATATTTTGACCATATCAATGTGCGCATGTTTCGGGTGGGGGGCATGTGGGAAACCAAAACTCATATTGAGTAGATGCACTGCCAACTCCTGGATGGGAACTTCCACACGCCGTCGTTGGTGTGCTCACGATCACCCTTTTTGTTGACCACGAGTGAGTATCCTCTTGCTCCATCTATCTAAGCTCTCTGACCATGTGCTATCATTCAGTTTGCGCCATATCGAGCAAATTCTACACCGAGAATCCCGACTTATATCCCAAGCTGACCGATCTGGTCAAGAAGCTTGCGTTCAGCGTTCCCGCACGCGGATACAAGTCTTTAGAGATTGTGCAGGCGTATCTTCTGCTTTCTTTGTATGGCTGCGGTGGTGCCGTCGAGCGCTACGAGCAGGACCGCACGTGGATTCTTTTGGGGATGGCGATCCGGTGGGTTGTTTGTGCCTGATGCTGGGGCGGTTCGTGATCTGATGCTGTCCGCAGCGTCGCGACCGACTTGAATCTGCACCGTAAAAGTTCCGTGACCAGCGACGATTCAGAAGACGGCCGCGCTCGGGATTACGAAGTGCATAATCGCGAGAGAACATGGCTTCTGTGCTTCTGTCTGGACCGAAGTTTCAGTGCACAAATGGGAAAGCCTTATTCGATCAGAGAAGAGTAAGGCTTCTTGCCTGGCATTCTTCGGATATTGATAATCTTCTGCAGCTTCATCATCCGCAATGCGATTCCGTGGGCACGGGTTCCGACTGCCATCTGGTCAGATGCAGGTCTCGCCGGTTATGTGGTGGGTTCTTACTCGTTGCATCGCTCTGCCCTCAGCCCTGACACCACTCCAGGATCTGCAGAGAACCATTTCACGCAGTCTGGATGTGTTGTATGCAAGTACGGACTCAGTGTCCGGGCTGATCGAGAACTGCGACTACCTGCTGGTCATCAAGACGTTCGAGACCCAGGTCCAAGCGACTCGCCAGATTTGGGACAGCGATGCTGCAGCTGTCTCTGAGCAGGGTCCGTACTCCACTCATCGCTCCTCATCGATTAGAGTGACTGATTACTGGGCAGTATCGGGTACTCGGTGGTTCGAGTATCGGAAACACATCTCGCAGTTCTACTTCTACTACGCACTGCTGGTGCTCAATTCGTTTGGGCTGCAGCATGCGCTGGAGCGAACACCTCTAAATATCGGACACTTTTTCTCGCGGGTGCACTCGTCCGCGGTGTCCTGTGCGACGGTGGTGCGAGATCAGCTGGGTCCGAAAGGGTTCCTGCGGTATTCTCCCGATTCGCATTTCGTGCAAATCTCGTATGCCGTCCTCAGTCTGCTCAAGGTGCGCAAGGATAGCTGGGGATTTATGTATGGGTTGCTCATCAGTCCGCAGCTCATCCGACCTGAGTTCCAAGCGTTCTTGGAACACGAGCAGCAGACGATCGCGCTGGTCAAGGACGTCGCGGATGTGCTTGAGAGCATCTCGGTCAACGGACAGCACACTCCCTCGCTGTATAGCACGTTCATCAAGGCGCTGATTGCTGCGCGGCTGGAGCCTAGTTCAGCCTCGAAGCCATCTTCGTCTCGCAGTTCACAGGGTGCTACCCCCCAGCCACAGGAAGGGCCCACGCTCAGCAGCAACACGCCGGCGCCGTTCTTGGATCGGGGGCCGGGGACGTTCACGCTGAACGATTTCCAGGTGGACGGAGAGATGGGGCCTGTCGCAGACATGTCGACGTTCCCTCCGACGATGGCACCCACGCCAAGCGAGGACTCCATGGGCGTGCTTACGATGGATAACATCCTAAGCAACGGTTTCTGGGACAGCATGCTCGTGCCTGGTATGCCATCTCTTGCGGACTTTCCTTTTGCGGATGCTGACCTGCTGCACGCACAGGTTACAACACCATGGACGGCCTAAGCGGAGGTTTCATCTTCGGGGCTGGGGGGAGCGGGCTGATCACGCCGCACATGGGTCCTTCGCCGTCGCAGAGTGGCGCGAACAGCCCTGCGCATCATCCCCAGCAGACGATCCTGACGCAGATGAACATCAATGCTGCCTTCCGCAGCGAAAACAAGGACTGATGCACGCATGCATCATCCTCGGTCCAATGCTTTTGGTTACATTGGTGTGTACATATCATACTGTACGTATATAGCTTTACATTTGGGGTATCCTACTATGTACTCTGTAGTCTTAGTGCTTTGCTGTGAACGAGAATTGAAGACTCTGCCAGCAACACGCCGGCGCCGTTCTTGGATCGGGGGCCGGGGACGTTCACGCTGAACGATTTCCAGGTGGACGGAGAGATGGGGCCTGTCGCAGACATGTCGACGTTCCCTCCGACGATGGCACCCACGCCAAGCGAGGACTCCATGGGCGTGCTTACGATGGATAACATCCTAAGCAACGGTTTCTGGGACAGCATGCTCGTGCCTGGTATGCCATCTCTTGCGGACTTTCCTTTTGCGGATGCTGACCTGCTGCACGCACAGGTTACAACACCATGGACGGCCTAAGCGGAGGTTTCATCTTCGGGGCTGGGGGGAGCGGGCTGATCACGCCGCACATGGGTCCTTCGCCGTCGCAGAGTGGCGCGAACAGCCCTGCGCATCATCCCCAGCAGACGATCCTGACGCAGATGAACATCAATGCTGCCTTCCGCAGCGAAAACAAGGACTGATGCACGCATGCATCATCCTCGGTCCAATGCTTTTTGGTTACATTGGTGTGTACATATCATACTGTACGTATATAGCTTTACATTTGGGGTATCCTACTATGTACTCTGTAGTCTTAGTGCTTTGCTGTGAACGAGAATTGAAGACTCTGCTCTCATTTTAGACTTATTACAAGACCAGGACTGTTCTGAATGATTCAATGACAATGTTGTTGGCCGAACTCATACATCCATCCATTCATTCTTTCCACATCCATCCATCGACTGCTGATCTGCACCTTCGGCACCCCGTCGAGTGCGCATCAGCTCCACTCCTCCACGAACTTCGCACTGACTGACAGACAGAGACAGAGGCTGGACTTTGGAGGCTCTCTCCGCCGGGACGAGACCCGCTCCGGGGACACGGATATGTCAGATTCAGATCCAGACAGATCGTCGCGAGATGCAATGGACCTAGATCCGGGCACCACCACCACCACCAGCCGACTCGCGCGGGACAGCAGGAGCGGCTCTCCCTCGAGGGGTCCATTTCCTCCGGGCTGGCATGTTCCTCTAGCCGGTACAGTGTGTGCAGTGTGCACACTTCGTCTGCGCCAGACTCTGTTTTTGTCGTGCTCAAATGGTGCTAAATTTGGCCGGAAACAGGCGTGTGTATACTTAGTCGTCGGCGCCTGCAGTGACGTAGCGGGCCGCGGGGCGGAGTCATAATTAGGACGCGGGATCGCAGCTTGAAAACACCGCACCGCACAGAACCTTGACACGGCAAGACCGTGACGGAATCGCACAGCGCAGCCCTCCGGATCGGCGGACTCGGATGGGCGGCTCATGGTGCTTACGTGTGTCTGCTGATAGAGTGAGTCAATCAGATAAGATCTGGTGGGTGACGCCCTCCTCCTGCGGCGAACATTCTTGCACGTACGTACATAACAGCAGATACTGATCCCCCCTTCCGCTGCGGATCGGCGCGCCGATGACGTGTCCAGGGCCCTTGTTTCAGCCCGAGATGGCATCGGGCGTGGCTTGACGCGCGGCGAGAGATCATCGCATCTCATGTATACATAACATACCATACCTCGGTCGGTCCGCGCACGTCGACGTCGCAACACCCAGTCGACACGTCGGCCATGAAACTGTGATGATGGATCCAAGTGGGGAAGGAACCGCGTTCTCAGGAACTGAAACGGGCGGCTGGGCCAAATACGGAGATGATGAACTACCGAACCATCCAAATTTTGCGCAGGTACTTGTCTATGTAAAGACGGAGCTGGATCGCAGATCATGCATGGCGTTTCTATCTGCCGAGTCCGCTACGGGCCAAGAAACTGCGCGATTCAGACGAAGGCATTTGCTGGAGAGTCACGCCCGGATTACTTATTGTTGTACTCCTCTCGGAAAGCGCCACAGCATTCCAGGGCGATCTACGAAACGTTAGGGCATCAGTCAGTTTGCCCTTGTGCAGCTCGTCGATTCACTGGAGGCTGGTGAAAGACATACTTTTTTATACATTACAGATAACAACACAGATATGATTTTCCATGGATATGCAACACACATTCCTACAGTGTCCCAGAGGCAAGCTGTCAACGACGACTGCTTCTTCGCTGCGACCGGGAGCCAGAGGCTTGACGCCAACCAGAAGACCCCCGCGAGCTGCTCTGGCCGGCCGAGCCCCCAGACGGCGAAGCCACCCGTCGGCGGCGGCCGCTTTTGTGCGTCGGGGGCGGCGAGCTGAACCGGTCCTTGTCCTCGTCGTACGACAGGGTCTCGGAGGTATCATCGAACATCAGGTCCATCGCGCTGACCTGCTCCTCCTCGTCGTCCGCGGTGGCCATCTCGACGTCCTCGATGTCGTTCGTCACGCGATACGCATAGCCGGGTTCTTCCTCTTCCTCGTCGTCGTCATCGTCGCTCCAGTCGCTCACGTCATACACCCCGCCAGGGGGCTCGCCAACCCAGTCTTCGCCCTCTTCGGCGAAATCCCACACGTCGAGCACCGTCTGAAGCACACCCGCACGCGTCTGATTGCTCGCAGCAACACACCACCGGCCTTCGAACACAACCTGCCACACCCCAGTGATCCCCGTGAGCAGATCACGCGTCACCGTCCCATCCCGCAGATTCCACATCTTGAGCGTCCCGTCGCTGCCACTGAGGACTTTGAATTCGTCGTGCTGGAAGCACGTGATCGCGCCAGTGTGCGCAGCCAGGGTGTGCAGCAGCGCGCCCGTCTCGGGATCCCACACACGCAGAGTCGAGTCCGCCGCGGCGCTCACCAGCGTCCGGGGCGACAGACCTAGCAAGCCCACGAGAGATGTGTGTCCAGTCAGCGTGTGTGCACAGCGGCCCGTCTTGAGATCCCAGATGCGCACTGTCCCATCCATCGAGCCCGAACAAGCCTGCTGACGCGGTAGATCAAGTACCACGCTGTAAACTGAGATGACTCAGCAACAAGAAAACCGGCAGCCGAAGCGTAACGGCAACACACCTTTCTGTGTATGCCCCACTAAAACCCATTTACATGCCCCTGTAACGAGATCCCAAACCCGGACAGTGCAGTCATACGACCCAGAGACCAGCGTCCGTCCTCTAGCGGCCAACGCACGGACGGCATGTTCGTGTCCCTCGAGGAAAAGCCTATGATATGGATTGTCTTCCACGTCCTGTAGAAAATCAGCACTAGCGCCAAAACCCCAAACACCTGGCGCACATCAGGATCACCCTCGTCGAATGACGAATACGGCGCATCGCCAGGCCTCGGTAGCGTCCACACCCGCAATGTATGGTCCCGCGATCCCGTAACGATCGTAGCCCGTTTCGGCCACTTTTCCCTCCGGCCATCCTCCATCTCCACCCATTCAGGCTGGACGATAGCCAGACACCGCACAGTGCTCGTATGTCCTCCAAATACATGCGTACAGCGGCCAGTCGACAGATCCCATATCCGCACCGTGCGATCGGTCGAGCCGGAGACCAGTGTATCACGAGTGGCAGCCAGCGCCCAGACACCACCCTCGTGGCCCTGAAGCGCCAATCGAAGCTCGCCGGCGATAGAATCGTAGACATGGATCGAATGGTCGTCAGAAGCCGAGATAATCCGACCGCGGGAGAGAATTAGACATGTCACAACGCTGCTTCCATGTGCCGGAAAACTTCGGTGCTTGGGGGCTGTGGTCGCTGCCCATCGGGCCTGTGTCAGGTAGCGCGACTGGAACAGCGCCTTGTGCGGGTACGGCAGCCGGCGATATGCCCGGAGGAAGGCCGCTTCCGAGTTCCAATGCATGCCGGACGACTTGAGCAAGGACGTCCACACGAGCGGGTCGGCATCGATCAGCGAGCGCCATGATTTCGAGACACGAGAGGCCCGAGAAAGGGTCGAAAACGGTAGGAATGACAGAATGTGCGAGGCAAGCTCCGGTGGCAGGAGCGTCAGAAAATCGCGTGCGAGCGTCGGTGTCAGCACGGAATGTAACGTCCGGAGAACTGGAAGCGGTGAATGTCGAAGCAGTGTCAGCAGGAAGTGCGACTGCAGGGGCACCGGAAGTGCGGTAAAGTGATTCAGCAGCGATGGCAGTGTCAACAACGTGGTCAGGGCCAAGTCCGGTTCGAATGGGGAGCCCTGCCGCGAGCCGGGCGGCGAGGGAGGCGGTCGCGGCTTCTTTCGCGATCCCTCCTCCTCTTCCCAGGCCCGCTTCTTCCCATACCGGTCTACCGCCTCAGCCAAACCAACCACTGGCTCGGGCGCGTCATCATGCCGCAGCATCCGCCATCCCTCGCCATGGGTATCGTGGTCATCTTCGTTCGCATCATCGCCTTCCCTGAACGTCGCGCGGGTGCCGCCGGGAAATACGAGGGGGAATTGGCGCAGGCTGCTGGGGAACGTCGCGTGCAGGAGGGGGTACTCTTTCGGATCTGTCGGTTCTATCGCTGGGGGAAGAGGAGGGAGTTGTATGGGGGCATAAGTGGTCGTGGTCGTAGTCGTCGTCACGACCCTGGGAGAGATGAGGAAGCAGACGCGATAATGGCGAGATGACTTACGTGGTCGTACTCACGGATGGCTGTAGAGCAAGAGTGGGTCGCGAGCTCATGTCGGGCTATCCTTTCTCTTAGTCTAAATGTTGAAGGGATCTGGCGTGTAAAATGAGAGTGTGTTCTCGGCGGAAACCGACGGCCGCCCGTACTTCACAGACTGCTTTACGGCGCTTGTGTTCCAATGACACCGAGGGGTGGATACTAACGGTGCATCAAAATGAGACATACAGTGTCATAGGAACGCGCGGTACGAACCAATAGCGCGAATATTCGGCGGTGTCCGACGCTGAGAGAGTTCAGGATGGTGGATGGTGGCCTCTCAAAAGAGGGAATAACATCAGGTGACTTTGATTGATCTCGCGATTGAGATGCCAATGCGGCGCATTGCCATTGTCTTGACTCTTTTGTGCGCATTCAAGGCCCGCCGCCTCAAGACCCTTTGAGATTACTCTCATCCACGTGCAGGCCGCCGTCGCCAATGATCTTCGATACTAGCATTCAGCCCGTCATCGAGTCTGATGAGTTCATGAGTGTTTCATAGATGATGCGTGGAGGTCCATGATACCGCTGTGTACTCTAATAATGATATAAGTGATACAGGATGACGGCGTTGTATGAGTCCGTGACGGTGCTAGAACCAACAACTTAGTAGCTATCAGAAGGCACGCGGGATCTCGGTTGTAACAAGCTCGGTAGATTTTTCTGAGATGAATTTCTCGAGCGTGAGCTCAATCCCTGCAGTCCTGGAGCGCCGAGAATGCCATCCTCCTCCATCATCCCAGGAGCCGGAGAGACAGACCGCGAGCTTGTGGAGGCAGCCAGCATACGACCGGGAGAACGAGGCGAAGCCGCCCCTCCGAAGGCTACTACCGTTGGGCTGTAATAACCGCTCCCGAATCCGTTGATAGGTGTCGTACCCGCTAGATTGAGTCCGGTCGGGTGATTTGGTCGGCGAAGGGAGAATATCTTCCCTACAGAGCGTGCCAAGCGACTGGGGCCAGCGGAGACTTTGCCTTCCTCCATCGAGAGCGACTTTCTGTCTCGCAAAAGCCGCAGGAAAACGGATCGTAATCGCCGTCGGAGCGGGTACGTCACCATTATTAAGACGCTGATCAGCGTGCAGTAGAATAGGAACATGACAGGAGAAAACCCGAGCGAGCTTCGTGTCAAGGTTTGGGGTAAGTGCGACTCGAGCCGATTTTCAATGGCATCCAAGTCGAAATATAGTGGTCGGATAGGTCGGATCGGGGAGTCGCTGTTGATAGGCTCATCTAGAGGGTCGACAATAGGTGGTGTGCTCTTGACCAGCGGCGTCACTTCTTTACTGGCTTCCAAAACCATCTTCCCGAGCGTCCAACTGATGGCAATTTCCCCCACTGTATCGACCGACTGGAAGGTCGGCCGACCAAGACCCTTCTTCTGCGCTTGTTGTGCGACCTTCTCGCCATCTGTTGTGTTGTTTCCCCCAGCGTCGATTATCCGGGGCATACCGATTCCTTCGTGGAGGACATTGGCAATCCAAGCAGCTTTGAAGCACTGCATCTCCAGTCGCGAAATCTGAACTTTGTCACTCCAATTCCCAACTGCAACAACCTTGCCGTTCTCCTCGACCTCTCCGTCACCTGGATGGAAATGCGACTGCCCTGATCTCGTGGCTTCATGCTCCTTGACGATTCCGCTCCAAGGTCGCGAGCAGAATTTGGACGCCGCTCGCTCATATTGCACGAAATCGTAGGCACCGCCCAAACCAAACACGTGCTCGGAAGAATACCAATATTCGGACACGCCGATGAAATGGGACACGGAGAAGTCGATAGTCGGGACATGGACACCGTTCATCAAACATGGAGTGTCCGGACACGGTTGATTCCTGTTGAGCAGCGGTGCCGTTTTCTGCATGCATTTCTCGAATGAGCCGGTGCCAACCAGCTTGTGCGTTTTCTGGGCATGATCCGACGAGGGCCCGAGGTGGACTGGGTGTTCCGCGAGTTCGAGGTCCACAGGCAGACATGGGTCGTGTACCACATCATCGCCTCCTTCCGGACGCTGGCTCTCATGCTCCGTGATCGCCTTGCCCACATATCGTTCCCGCGCTTGATTCGTCCCGTAACCGAGCCATGTTGTGACGAAAACCTTGTGGTGGATCTCGGTCCCACCCAGGGTTCGCAGTCGCACGTCGATGAGGGACATTTCGTCGTCCACGTTCCCCGCTTCGGGCTCAAAGGCAATCTGCGTTGATGCTCCCCCCATGTCCAAAAAGCCGAATGTCGTCTGGCTCTCCAAGAAGCCGTCCATGAGGTAGTTGACAGCTATCCACCCGAACAGACCCTCTTCCTCGCCTGTGATGATCCGTATACTCGATCCACAGGGACCT